ATTTCCTGCCCCTCCTGCCGGGAACAATGTGAGGAACCGGCCTAATCGCCGGGCTTGGAGGGCGAGACACCTCCGGGCGCACGCATGGCCCCGCCGCGGGATCCGTGGAGCCGAGGGAACTGCTCCTGGCGCGGAGATGGGGGAGGAGGGGTACTTGGGTCTCCCGTCACTCTCGGAAGGAAATGTTTGGGGGGAAAAAGCTCAAACAGTGTGGGTGTGCAAAGGGAATGTTATGACACACGGACTGTGCTTTTCGTACTCAGTATTAGAATATGCGCCTCTGCACGCCAAGGTGCAAAGGGCCGCCAAGCCATTTCTTTTTTATATATATATTTTTTTATTGACTTAAGAGAGGAAGGAAGAGAGAAACATCAATGATGAGAGAGAATCATTGCATGCTCACATGGGGATTGAGTTCGAAACCAGGGCATGTGCCCTGACCAGGAATCCAACAGTGACCTCTTGGTTCAAAGGTCAATGCTCAACCACTGAGCCATGCGGGCTGGGCTGCCAAACCATTTCATTCAACAAATGTTTCCTCCTCAAGGAGCTGCTGTGGGGTAGATGCATTAGGGAGTCAGGGTTTCAGAAAGCACTTAGTGGCTATGTCCGGGACCATGGAGCCGAGGCGAGGGAGATGCCAGAGTCCTATTTAGTGAGCATCTGGTTATAGGGTCAGTTCGACCTGAGCTCCAGCGCTGAGGCACTGGCCTTCCTCAGCTGTGCGACCATGAGCAAGTGGCTGCACCTCTCTGGGCCTCAATGGTATCATCTGTAAAATGCGGCTTTGACAGATGGACTTCTCATCAAGAAGAGCGTGTTCTGGGTGGCCCCTCCTGTTTCGTGAAAGGATGACAAGAAACAAATGTTATTTGGAAACCACTGAAAGGAAAGGACATCATCCTTGGTCACTAATAGAGAATAGCTTTGGGTTCACAGGAAGGCATTCGCTCTGATCTGTTCCAACACAGGCTAAAAAAAGAGGTCAGAAGTAACATTTTACGAACAATGTCCTAGCAGCTGAACTAAGAAGAGCAAAAACTGCCATCTGAGAAAACAAGGAATTTGTATCTGTTCAGTCTAGGGCCAACCTGGAGGACCTCAGGAATAAAAGTTAAGGCTTCAAACACAGTGCAAAGATAAAGGTTTGGGGAAATTCTATCCATGAGCATTTATTAAGCACCTTGCACTGGTGGGCAAATGCAACAAAAATTAAAACATGGCACTCTCCCCAGGAGGAGTGGTTCTCCAAGTATAGTCCCTGGAGCAGCGCAGCAGCATCACCTAGGAAACTGTCAGAAATGCAAGTTCTCAAGCCCCACTTCAGACCCATTGAGTCAGAAACTAGGTGTGTGTGGTGGGGGAGAGAGGGGGGAGCAGAGCCCAGGAAGCTGTGTTTGAACCAGTCCTCCCAAGTGACTGTGATACACGCTGAAGTGTGAGAGTTGTTGATTTCGAGAAAGCGATAATGTCACTGGGGAAATATGAGATACACATGTGAAATGCCTGGAGGAGTCTATGGCATCACTCATGACATTTTGGGAATGCAGGAAGACAGGAAGGAACTCTAGACAACTCTATTTCTGTAATACAAAGGACAATTCCTTCTCAAAAAACCCTTGCAGCCAGATGGATTTCAAAATTCAGATTTTTTTTTTAAGAAAGGTAAACTGTACATACACCATATGCTCCACAACAGCCTCAGTGGCCTTTTCATCAAATACACTGATTTTGTGCAATGAAAATATATGAATGACGTTAAGTGTGTGTTTATCTGTTGCAATTTCATAAACACGCCTCAAACATTAGTGGTGTAAAATGACAATGGTGTTTATCTGTTCATGAGTCTGTGGCTCAGGAATTTGGGCAGAGTTTGGCTGGCGGCTCTTCTGCTCCATGTGGTGTTGGTTGGAGTCATTCACGCAGCTGCTTCCCAGTGGGCAGGCCTAGAAAACTCCAAAAGGCTTCACTCATTCTGTTCACTCGCATGCTGGCACCTCAGCGCCCCTCCACCTGGCCTCTCTCCACGAAGCGTAGGCTTCCTCCCAGCATGGCGGGCTCAGGGTTTCCTACTGAATAAATTGTCTGCAAACTTAAGAGGAAATTCTTGGTTTTCAATTTTTTATTTTTTAAAACACATTTTTATTGATTTCAGAGAGGAAGGGAGAGATAGAAACATCAGTGATGAGAGAGAATCATTGATCGGTTGTCTCCTGTAGGCCCCCTACTGGGGATGGAGCCTGCAACCCAGGCATGTGCCCTGACTGGGAATTGAACATGACCTCCTGGTTCATAGGTAGATGTTCAACCACTGAGCTACACCAGCTGGGTGGTTTTCAACTTTTTAGATTTCAGAATTACAAAGAAGCAGTGGAACACTGGTTGTTGACCAGTTGGCTGCTCCTTTCTAACAGCTACCTAAATTCAGGTGCTCATATTCTGTCCAGAACACTCCTGATTGGCATCCGTTCCTCCAATGACATATTCATCCAATCCCCCCCCCCCATCTTCCTGCAAGAATTATTGTCCTGAACCCCAGGCTCAAATCTGGGCTAACATCCCACACTAGCAGTGTGAAAGCCTCTATAAAGTGGTTAAATCTTCCCAGCCCTTTACCCAACCAGCCTAGAATGCTTGCCAAGGCCTGCCCAGCCCCCAGTACATAGTCACATGTTTGTGCAGGTATGACCATTTTATGCCCACAATCACCTTTTCTCAATCTAGAACGCCTCCTACCTTCAGCCACAGCTCAAATTCTGCGTCCTTCAAGTCCCATTTCAAAAGCCACTTTCTCTATGATTTCCTCTGGATTTCCACAATGCTTGTTCTTTTCTTTAGAATTCATTAATTTTTATGCACTTCTCTTTACTATTTCTTGGGGAACTATGAATCACCTTTCTTTGTTTCCTACCACCGCCACGGGGGAGTGCTGAGACCCGAATGTTATTGTTAAATGCAGAAAAATATCAAAGGAAATAAGGGTAGACCCTGCCCTCCCATAAAAGACTTTATGCAGAACAGAGCTTTGAGCTGAGACTTGTGGGAAATATATGACTTGTAAAAATGGATGAGAAGGTGGGCAGGCAGGGACATCACCACCTGGAACCCAGGCCATTCATTGGGGACCCGGGCTCATAAATAATTCACTGAAAAAAGTGGACACCCTGTGACTTCCACCTGCTATCTGAGGAAGAGAAGATTAAGGGGCATTCTCATTTATGAAGTACTTTTCATAGACTAGCCGATCATGTTTCTCTTCATTATTATTCTAGTTTAAAATTATCTGTGGTTGTTTCAGGCAAGAATCATCAATGGATATTAGAATTAGTGGGTGACAGTATAATGGGGGGTGGGGGGAGGGATCTTTATCTCATCTCGAAGTATTTCCCTAGAAGATACTATTCTCCCTTCCTAATTCATAAGTAATTTTGCAATGGAGAAACTTGTGAGCCACCAGCAGATTTCGAAATTAATATCACCAGACAGCATGTACCTCCTGCTATGATGCACTGAGTAAGATACAACATCACTTCTGTGGTATTCTTACCAAAATAAATATCCTGAATTTAATCATGATGAGAGAACAGATAAGCTAAAATGAAGGGGCATTTTATTAAGAGCTGTTAAAAATAAACAACAGACCCAAAATAGAATCACTCTTGCTAAGCCCCATCAAGACTTAATTCCTAACTTAATTGCAGTTAGAGCCTCTCCCAGGAGTGGAATTTTAAACCAATTAGTCTGGAATTTCCTGGTCAGTCCTAGTGAGATAATTTGCCTGATAACTCCCCCCCCCCCCCCCACTTCTTCTCCTAAGGGAGAGTGGCTTTGCCTGAAATAATCCACTCTTTTAACTTGCTTATCCCACTCTTTCTGCCTATAAGACCCTTCCATTTTGTACAACTCCTCCAAGCACCCTTCTAATTGCTAGATGAGACACTGCCCAATTCATTAATCACTTAAAAAGGCCAACTAGAACTTTACGTGTACTCAGTTGAATTTTTATTTTTCAATATTATTTTGGCCCAGCAGGTGTGGCTCAGTGGTTGAGTGAACCAGGAGGTCACGGTTCGATTCCCCGTCAGGGCACATGCCCAGGGTTGTGGGCTCGATCCCCAGTAGGGGTCATGCAGGAGAGAGCCGATCAATTCTCTCTTATCACTGATGTTTCTATCTCTCCCTTCTATTCTTCTTTGAGATTAATAAAAATATATTTTAAAATATTATTGTGTTTTAGTTTCAGGTGTACAGCATAGTGGTTAGACTATCACATACTTTATAAAGTGTGTCCCCTGATATTTCCAGTACCCACCTGGCACCAGGCATAGTTATTACAATATTATTGACTATATTCCCTATGCTATACATCCTCATGACTGTTTTGTAACTATCAATTTGTATTTCTGATTTTTTACAGAGAGGAAGGGAGAGGGATAGAGAGTTAGAAACATCGATGAGAGAGAAACATCAATCAGCTGCCTCCCGCACACCCCCCAATGGGGATGTGCCTGCAAACAAGGCACATGCCCCTGACCGGAATCGAACCTGGGACCCTTCAGTCCGCAGGCTGACTCTCTATCCACTGAGCCAAACCAGTCAGGGCCCAATTTGTATTTCTGAATCCCTTCACCTTTTTCACCCAGTCCCCTAAACCCCCTACCCTCTGGCAACCATCAGTCCACTCTGTGTGTCTATGAGTCTGTTTCAATTTTGTTTGCTTATTTTGTTCTTCACATTCCACATATAAGTGAAATCATATGGTATTTGTCTTCCTCGAGTTGACTTATTTCACTTAGCATAATACCTTCTAGGTCCATCCATACTGTCACAGATGGTAAGATTTCATTCTTTTTTTATGGCCAAGTAATATTCCATTGTGTATATCACCACAACTTTTTTATCCACTCATCTAGTAATGGGCACTTGGATTGCTTCCATATCTTGGCTATTATAAATAAAATTTCAGTGAACATAGGGGTGCATATATTCTTTTGAATTAGTGTTTTGGGTCTCTTCAGATATATACCCTGAAGTGGAATCAATGAATCATGTCATTGTTACAATGTGAGAATTTGGGCCTAGCATTGCCAGGGATACGGATTTTTAAATATTGGCAACTAATGTCCATTCTTTTAAAACACTGAATGTGCCACCTTTGTGGGCTGAACAAAATGTATCTGAGAACTGTCAATTGGCACCGTTAGATTCAAGCAAAGGGATAGGCCCTTTTCTCCCTCCCAGCCCCCTCAGACCCCGATTTCCCCTTGGAGGCCCTCTAGCTGCCTGGGAGGACAGAGTTTAGGTAGAGAGGATGACTCCAAGAGCAGAGTAGCTGGAGGAAATACTGAGGAGGGGGTGAGTAAAATGTGAAATAAATGAAATGGTACTGAGGGCAGAAGAGGATTTTCTGAAGCCAAGGAAGGGTAAGGCTGGGAAAATATAGAATCAGCTTATTTAGAAACTAGAGGCCCAGTGCACGAAATTTGTGCACCGGTAGGGTCCCTAGTCGCTGCCAGATGCCAACTGCTGGCTGGGGCCTTCCTTCATTCCATGCTGCCCCCTGGTGGTCAATGCACATCATAGCGAGCTATCAAACTCCCGGTCGGTCGAACTCCCAAGGGGACACTTTGCATATTAGGCTTTTATATGTATAGATAGGGGTTCTTGGAAGATGTAATAATAATCACAACTAAATAGTAACGTATTTATTATCGGCCTATTTTGTGTGAAGCACTGCCTTAACTCTAAATAGTTCCATCAAGTCGCTGATTTTTTTTAAAAAACCTTAGGGATCTCAAAGATGGACTCCCCAAAGTTTTTAGCCGTGTTCATTGGCTCAAAAAACATTTGATACCTACAATGTACCATGCACTACTGCAGCCCACAGCTCAGTAAGATACTGTCCCTTCCCTTAATGAATATGTCATTAAGAGGGTGGGAGAGTGACCAGCAAATTACTGATGGGTGGGCTCCCTGCCAGGCCAGCCCACACAGGGGGAGGGTGGCAAGGAGGCCCAGGGCCAGTTTCCTCTAAGAGAAGACATTTAAACTGATTTCAAGGGCCATTCAAAGTTAACAAAGCAAAGAATACGGGGATAGAGGATAAAATTCCAGGACGAAGGACACCACCCCTCTGATCAGGAACCACCTGCCCAGTGTGTTTGCTGAGAGATGTGGCCAGAGAGAGTTTCAGCCTTCCTTGCCATCTCGCATAGAAAGCAGTGGGCCCTCACTGCTCCTTCATGTGGTTATTAAACTGTGCTTGGCAAAGGGGAAGATGTGGAGAAATTCCATCAGTGAGCATTTATGAAGGTTGAGGTTATACCATACCTTCCCCCGTTGGAGACATGGGAGGGGTGCGGGAATGTGTGTGTGTGTGTGTGTGTGTGTGTGTGTGTGTGTCTTTTACGTATATGTAATTTTTGTTAAAGGGATGAGTAAAGTAGGGTCATATACTTGAGACTCTTGGTCTGCATACATTTTTTCCCCCTAGCAATTACTTTTTTTAAAAGCCTGTAGAAAATTAAATTAATAATATATATGATAGTCTACAAAACCAAAGGTCAATAAGAGGACTGGGAGGTGGGGAAGGTAGCCATGAACTTTCTCCTGCAGGGCGGCTTAGTGGACCCCCCACGCAAGTTGCAGAGTGGAAAATCACTGAGGTTTGTTGAAGGACGGGCAGCTTTTCCGGCAACACGTCTTGCAGGGACCCATGTATCACATTCAAACCAGGAAGCAGATGACAGAAATCACAAGCAGATGGAAACCCATGAATGGACTGTATCTGAGGGTGAGGCCCAAGTGACATGGACACTGGTTTCAGGGAGGATATCCGCTGAGTTTGGAGGAGACCCCCCACCCCACGCCGCCCCCTCTGGGGCAGAGCGATGGGAAATGGGAAGGCAGCACTGCCAAAAATACCTTGTGCCTTGCCCGAGTTCCATGGGCCAAAACCTACAGGCTTTATTTGTAGGACAGAAAATTCCAGGCTCTCGTAACAATTTGAAACAGAGGTGAAGTTGAAGACCCTCATGCCAACACCTTTTATTTATTAGTGTTAGTTACGCACCCACTCGTGAATTCCTCTGCCCGCGGTACTGGATGAGCAAAGACCTGTCCTTCCGAGGAAGTGCCAAGAATTTTCTGAAATGAAATCAGAAGCGCACAAGAAAAAATGGGCAGCAGAGATGAAACACAGAGTAATTATATTCATCATGTGCCTCCCCAGAAGATTCTCGGAGAGGGACATGTTAGGCCAGCAATTTAAGGAGTGGATATTTGCTTACCAAGTACTTTGGCCTTAGAAAGGATTAATTGGAGAGTTTTGTTTATAGGTGAGTTTGATTGAGGAGAGATGATGGAGCTGAGAAATTTAAAGGTGACAGGGATCTTTATCTAAAGAGTCATCACCAAGAAGCACCAATAAAACACCAAATGTGTACAAAAGGATACATTTAAGTATGCATTCTTGAAGAGTTGCTGGCAAAAAGTCAAAAGGTAAAACTCAGTGTAGGGTTGCTTGAGAAATTCTATTGCCTATTTATAATGCCCCAAGTCACCCCCTCATTTATTAGTTTTTTAATTTCCATGGTCAGCTCCAATTTGCTCAAAGGTAAGTACCTGTTCCTTTGGTCACAGCATGTACTTGTTTTGGGTGTTGGGAGACAGGCTTTGAGCTTGGGTAGCACAGCCTCCTTTGCATAAGCTGAAGTCATATTAGCATCAAGTTTATGACTGGATGACAGACTGCACTCCAGTTCCTTCCCTTCCTTGCGGTGGCGAATCTGTAACCAGAAAAGCCAGTTGGATCTCCTGGCTCACTCATCGGTGGGGGCTGATGGAGAAGGAGCAGGTGGACTGTCTTCATGGGATCTACACCTTTCAGAGTCAGGAATCCTGGAGGCTTGCCTGGGAGAGCCTCATAGGTATCATAAACTTGAGAGAATTGTGGCACTGCCAGCAACGATGGCATTCACCATGGACACCTCGCCTGGCAGATAAGCCCTCGGTAAGATCTGGGGAGAGAATGGGGTAAAAAAAAAAGTGGTAGTTTTCGTAAAACTAGAGTTTTGTGGGACCTTGAAACAGGTCGTGTGGACAATTGAGACAGAGCCTCCCACATTTTCATTATTTTTATGACTGTCTCCATCTCTAGGGATGGACCACACCCACCCTGTCACACAAGGAGGACTTTCCATAGGTTTTTTTTAGACCCAAATTAGAGATCAAAATCCTCTCCAGCAGTCTTTTTAGTGATTTTAGCAAGTCTTACATGACAGAGACATGTCTTTGAAGGTCCCCTGTCCCCTCCTTCCTTGAACAGTGGAACTCTAAGCTTTTAGGTGGACACACAGCCAGCTGGTTAAGGACCTTTTCCAGCCTCCTTCACAGTTAAGTGTGGCCATGTGGCTAAACAAATGAAAATAATAATAATAGCTTTCACTCCTATGTGCCAGGCAACTATCCTGAGTGCTTTGGGTATATTAACCCATTTAATTTTCACATTCACTTCAGGAAATATTAAGAAACAGAGGCACAAAGACATTGAGTGACTTGGCCAAGACCACACAGAAAGTCAGTGGTGGAGCTGGGCTTTCAACCCCAAACGCAGGCCCCGGCGTTGCATTCCAGCTCACATTCAGCCGCACGGGATGTGAGTAGAACTTCCAGATCATGCCCTGAAAGGGGAGAGGCTTGCTCTCCATCGCCCCACTCTCCTTCCTAGAAATCACCATCTTCAACTACAGGATGGAAGGCGCATGTGGAGGAGCCTGAGTGCCCAACACCATAGGACTAGCCTTTCAGTCTGGACTCCTGATGCTCAGCTTGTCACACACGAGAGAAGGAAACCTTTATCTGACTTTCATCTCTGGCATTTGGGGAAGGAAGGGAAGTTACATCCTAACTAACTTACCTTAGGTAAAGAGAGAGGTTGTGGAGGAAGAGACACGATGTCTTTGAGCACCTACTGTCTACAGGCATACCTGAGATATTGCGGGCTCGGTCCCAGGCCACTGCAATAAAGTGAGTATCTCAGTGAAGTGAATTGACATCTTTTTTTGCTGGTGGAGGGTCTTGCCTTCAATTTTTTTGCAAAAAAATCAACATCTGTGAAAGTGAAGTGCAATAAAGCCAGGTGTGCCTGTATCCAGTGTCTTCAGGCATTATCTCCTTGGCCCCACACAGAAGTTCTGCAAATGGGCAGCCTTAGCTGGGATCTGCAATGAGGAATCTGAGGGTCAGGGGGGTTCAGTCACTTGCCTGAGATCACATAGTTTGGTTGAGAGTTTGGCTAAAATTTCAACAAACCTTTCCCAAAGGCCTCTTTCTCACCATTCTACAGTGACTCATTCATAAGAGGCATGTCTATGTCTCTGTCATGGTTCACAGCCCTTTCATTAGTTACTCCTCAAAGCAATCTGATCACATTGGTACTCTGAGTTCCATTTTGTGGATAAGAAAACAAGACAAACAATTATATCCCCAAAGTCAACAGAAGGCCAAGGTTTTAAAAGCCACAGCTGCAGAAATTCAAGGCTGTTGACTGTTCTACACATAGAACCAATCTGGGAACCCAGAAGTCCTCATTCTTGAAATCTGTGAAGTGTCTTCTCGTTTGTATGAATTCAACGGTGGAGGATGGGAGTGGAGGCAGGTCAGTTGCTGGTGACACAGAAGTGCTGTGTTTAACCTGAGTTTTAGAGGTTTTTCCTAAAAGGTTTAACTATAGTCAAGGGTTGTTGGTCACATCAGACCTTCCAGGCTGCAGGGGACAGTCGCATAAAACTCCAACCTGGAAGCTGACCCTCTTCTAGAGACAAAGGCGATGGTTCCCGAGGCTCTCCCTCACTCTGCCCATGCATGGCCTCAAGATGGGAGACCTGAGACCCCCCAGTCCCAAGTCCTGTGGCGCCCCCTCTCTTCCTTCCTGCAGGAGACCAGCTATCTCTGTTCCTGGTCTACTGGGGGGAAATGTTGGCCAAAGTTCCCCACTACATAACCTCCTGGGATAACAAGGGCAGCCAGACTGAGATGGCATTTGCATCTATCACCCAAATTCCCCGGCAGGGGGCCCAATAGTGTAGCTTAAACTTACTGCCTGCCTCCTCGCCCCATTGACAATGGCAGGTGCACTTGCATCCTTGTGGGATTGGGGAGGGTCACTCCCCTAGAATCAGTAAGGACCAGGTGACAGTTCAGGGGTCCTCACTCCACTCTAGCTGCACGTTAAGATCACCCAGGGAACGTAAAAAACGATCAAAGTCCAAGCTCCACCCCCCAGAGACTATGATTTAGTTGGTCTGGAGGGGGTGGAGTCCTGCCATTGGTGTTTTGGGGAAAGTTCCCCAGGTGATTCTTTGTGGGCCACAGTAGGTTTTCTGCAATGTATCTTAGCAAAGAACCCTTTCAAAACGAAGGAATCAGTGCTGAACATTCTATCTCTATTAGGATGGCGAGTTCCAAGAAAGCCGTTATCCTATTTGTGCTATTGGACTTAGGCTTACGGATGGTAAATAGCTCCAGGCAAGAATGCAGCCCTAAATGTTCCTCTTGTATCTTTACAAGAATCGATTCTGGGACTGCCTGCCTGCCTAATTCTCTACCCCTGCCCAGTCCAGAGCCGCACCCCTAGGGGTCAGCCTGGAGCTCGCTCTCTCCAGGCTGCTTTCTGAAGGCAGGGGAAGGTGGAATAAAGATGAGGCCTCCTGGTGCTCCCCTCCCTGTCCACAGCACAGAACGCCATGTTTTCTTCATCCAATGTCTGAACCAGGGCAAGTTTCCACTTTACTTACGATCTCCGCCCCTGGACTGCGCCCATCAAGCAGGCTCCTGTTTTCTCTCGGCCAGATAGCATCAGAGGGCAACAACTGAAAGCGACTGCGGAACAATTGTCCTTTTATACAAGGTGACCCTCACAAGCTGGGGCGGGGTGGGGGGGGTGGGGAACTTTGCTTTATTATCCTCCAAATTAGCTTCACGGGAAAGGATCTGGGCCTCTACCTCCCCCAATGTCCGTCATCACCCCGATCCTGGGCTTTTCCTGGTCACCTTTCAATCTCCCCAACTCCTTCCTTTTTCTTTTCTTGGGAAAGAGTCAGGTTACCTAAGATGGGTTGAGGCAGATGTTGAAACTCAAAACCAGAGAACTTAAATCTGTGGGAGGTAGGTGGCCTGCAACAATCAGTGACGGGTGGAATATGGCAGAGATGACATAGAAAGACTGAATGAACCAGGAACCTCGTCATCTCCCCAAGTCTGGCTTAGATGAGCAGCCAACGGAAACTATGAAAATAGGCCACAGTTCCTTAGGTCTTCCTTTAGCAGGGTTTAAAGTTGAAGGATGAGTTTCTGTGTGACAGGTTGGGTATGGTGGGCAGTGAGGTTGCCTCCCCCACATCTATCATACCCTCCATCATTGTGGGTGTCTGCAAAACTGTTCATGTATCTGAAGAGAAGATCTTTGCTGTCATCAGAGCTTCAAGAATCTGTGACTTAACTCATTCAACAGCGTTGGATAACTGTTGGGTGCTGATGACACAGACACTGAGCTAGGCACTGAGAATAAAGTCGTGAGCAAAACAGGCAAAATCTCTGTCCTCATAGAACATTCATTCCAGACGGGGAGACAGAAAATGGATTGTAAATGGGGGGGGAAGAGCCATGGGGAAAGATAAAGGAGGAAAGAGGGAAGGAGGTGTGTGCTGCTTATCTAGCCGGGAAGACCTCTCAGGAATGGTGGCATCTTCCCAAAGACCCGACAGGAACAATGGAGCGCGTTCCCCTGGGAAGGTCTGGGAGAGAACCTTCTGGGCAGAGGGAACAGCGAGAGCAAGGACCTCAAGGAGAGGCACCGCGGGTCAAAAAGGGTACCATGTGGCTGAAGGGGAAGGAACAGGAGGGAGGCAGTGGGAGTGGAGGTCAGAGAGGCGCTGGGGACAGATGCTGCGGGGTCTTCTAGATGGTGGCAAGGACCTTGGAATTTCTCTGAGTGAGGGAAGGAAGCCATTGGAGGGTTTCAAGCAGAGGAGGGCCCATTCAGACCTGGGTTTTGGAAGGGTCGCTGTGACACTACGGAGCAGAGACAGCAGGGAGACTGGTGAGGAGAAAACTGCAAAAACCTAGATAAGCAATAATGGTGGCTCGATCCCGCTGGGCCTAAAACTGTGGAGGAGGCAGGAAGTGGTGGGTTATGGGTATATTTTCAAAATAGAGCCAACAGGATTTTCTGAGGGATTGGAGAGAAGGAAGAACCGACGATGACTGCCAAGATTTTGGCCTGAAGATCAGGAAGGATGGAATTGCCATTAACTGAGATGGGAAGTCAGTCAAGACTGCCCCAGGGTGACATCGCCACTGGTGACAATAAACCTCTTGCTCTCTCCAGCTGCTTCCTGTCCGTCCTGGCACCCAGAGAGGTATAAATAACAAACAAACAAGACTTTTCTGAAGACAACGATGACTACTGGAGGCTAGCCCTAGAAACTTGGGGAGAGCTATTGGTTTTTATAATTAATTAGAGGCCCGGTGCATGGATTTGAGCACCTACTGTGTACAGGCATACCTCAGAGATATTGCGGGCTGGGTCCCAGGCCACTACAATAAAGTGAGTATCTTAGTGAAGTGAGTTGTGATCTTCTTTTGCTGGTGGAGGGTCTTGCCTTCAATTTTTTTTGCAAAAAAGTCAACATCTGGGAAGTGAAGTGCAATAAAGCCAGGTGTGCCTGTATCCTAGTTGGAGGTGTGTGCGGGAGACAACCAATCGATGTGTCTCTCTCACATCGATGTTTCTCTCTATCTCTCCCCCTCCCCCTTCCACTCTCTTTAAAAATCAATGGAAAAATATCCTCAGGTGAGGATTAACAACAATATATATTTTTTTTAAAAAAAAAAGGAAAAAAGAAATAAGTCTTTGCATCTAAGTTCCTTGATGGTATCAGAGCAAGATTTTCTATTTTTTATTCTTTGGTGGTGGAGGAGGCAGTGGGACATAATCTAAATATATTTGAATCTTCTATTAAATGATCTTATGCCAGATCGCCACATTGGGAGAAAGTGTCTCTTCTTAGACTGGGACTGGGGCTGGGCTAACAGCAGGGGATGGTGAGGGGAGTCAGTGATTAAGGTAACTCCCATGAGCCCTGGAAATTACCATCTTTTAAATGGAAACATGCCCAGCTTTTTTTTTTTTCTTTTTCTTTTTCAAACAGGTTTACCATGTGACTTCAACTCCATTCTCTCTTTTCTCTTATGTTCCAACCACATCTGGGTTCTAATAAAGACCACGCTGAGACTCATTTGCTAGTGAATAGTCAATATTTTTGTATCTAAGGACTGTACGCTGTAGGCAAATGCAAGAGGCTTGGGCTGATTTTAGGCACGAACAAAAGCTGGCCTATTTTAAATAGTGCTGGTCACTGGATCTCTCTACTCCTGACCTGGGAGGCAGTAGTGTAGCCAAAAGCACAGATTCTGAAGCCAGAAGACCTGGCTTTGAATCCCAGCTCTGCCGTTTCTCGCTGTGTGACTGTTAACAACTGATTTTACCTGTAATATTTCAACTGTAAACCAGGGATCCTCATAAGAGCACCCACCTTCTAGTGCTAGTGTCAGAATTATATTAATTAATACTGTAAAGCAGTGAGAACAGCTACCACCTGCTACCAGATAACAGTAACCATTGGCAGTTATAATCTCATCATTACATTGCAAGTATCAAATGAGTTCATACATGTAAAGTACTCAGCATAGTTCCTGGACATGGGATGTTAGGTATCACTTTCACCCTTTGTTCATTTGTGCAACACGTTTTTAGTGAGCAGCTACTGTGTGCCAAGCCCTGGTTTGGGTACGGGGGGAGCGGGGGGACAGAAGTGAAGAAAATAGCCTAATCCCCTGCCCCTTTGGAGCTTACATTTTAATGCTATAATAGTAGACATCAGGGTTAACCTTGCCATGAAGGGCATGGAGCTTAAGCCATAAGCTCCTCAACTGTACAGGTCCTTCCACAGGCTCAATGAGGGTCCCTAACCAATGTCTTCGACTTCTCACCTGATTTTGTACTCATAGTTGTGTATACTCTTTCTTAAGTGAGCCCTCAAAACTGCAAAAGCTTCTGACCCCACAAAGCCTGGGTCTGCCTTCAAGATCATTATTATTTAGGTAACAATAGCATATTATTATTATTATTATTATTATTATTATTATTATTTTGGAAAATGAGGCAATGCTGTAGGTGACTTCTGAGGTGTTATATTATTACCCTTTTAAGTATCCCAAAGAAGGTGGACTCACAGGCTGGGGAGAGAGCCTTACGTATACAAATCAGGGTTACCGCATCTCCTCCTTTGTACCTCCCACGTCCCTTTTGGCACATTGTACCATCTAGTTAATAGCCTGAAATCTCTTCTGGAAAGAAAATTGCTTGCAATGAAGAGTTGTCTCAAGGCTGTGGACTCGGCTAGGATTCTTTTAGTAGGAAGGGGGTTCTGAGACCATAGACGCCCAAACCCTCAATTTATAGATACAAAGGGAACCTGGATGGGTGGGTGCTCAGATCTAGGGCATGAACTTCCTCCTCTCCTTACAGCAGCCTGGACCCAGCATCCGGACAGGGACAACCCACATTTGTCAAAATGTCATGGAGTGTGTGTTCAGGTATTTTCTCACAGTGCACCTTCTGCTCGGGCACCTGCAACCCACATGCAAATATAATTTCCAACCTGCCCGATGGAGTGGCCTGTTTGGATGGCAAACAAGACTTTGCTCCTTCTGAGTGCCTCTGTACACCTCACCTCACCCCATGCAGCTGACTTGGGAAAACAAACGTATTTGTTGATAGGCACAGCCATTAGAGACGCATGCAGAACATTTACTTGACAGGGTTCTAACTAAGTCCCTCTAGGAAAAAAATAAAATAAAATAAAATAAACTTTTGGTTTTTGGATTAGAAATATCTAAGCAAGTAGGTTTTTTAAATAGTTTGACATTTTAACCCTAGCAAGGTGTGGTCTCATATCAGTATCTTGTGCTGTTTTTTTGCCATTCTGAAAAAAAAGTATAAAATAGAATTGCCTGTCATATAGATCTTTGGGAGGAATTATATGCAAAATTAATTTACTCCTTAAGCCAGACAAGCATATATAATGATCTGCTGTAGCTAGGATTGCAGTTTTTGTGTTTTTTTTTAAAAGTGCTGGGAATAGCAATTGTGTGCAAAAGGAAAGATTTGGATGAGGGCTTTCAAATAATTACTCTATTAGAGCTGGTTTATTAACTTTTGATATTAAATGAATATATTCATGGAATACTTATTCTAAGAACAAATTATCTTTAACCTTCTCCATGTATCCAAATGCTCACACAACTTTCAAAAATGACACTGGGCAACCTTTTAAAAATGCCTTTCAGCCCTGGCCAGTATGGCTCAGCTGGTTGGAACATTGTCCCGTACACCAAAAGGTGGTGGGTTGGATTCCCAGTCAAGGCACATGCCCAGGTTGTGGGTTCGGTCCTCAGTCGGGGTGCATGCGGGAGACAGCCAATTGAGTTTCTCTCTCACATAGATGTTTCTCTTTCTCTAAAAAAAAAAAAAATCAATTAAAAATCAATTGAAAAATGCCTTTCATACAATGGCTGTTTAAATAAACATCCTTCACAAGTTAAATAACTTAATTGCCCATGATTTTTAAAAGAATAGCTTTAAAGTACGAGGGGATCTGAAATGGATGGTCATTTTGATTTCAGTTGTTTTGTTTCCCCAGCCAGTTCCTTCCTTTTTGTTACCAGCACACATTGTATAAACTCCCATCAGAACCAGGGACTGTCTGAATTTACACATCCTGTCTGGGTATCATATGAATAGTGTCTCCTGTGACCCTCAAAACTGTCCCACCTTCAGGATAAATTACCTGGTCGCCCTCATGCTAGTGCAGGCCACACCGGGTTCTGGTGTCTCCCTGTGGAGACTCTGAGTTCCTTGGGGAGGGGACCCCTGTCTTTGTTCTTTTTACCCTTTTGTCCTCTGTGCCTAGAACAGGATCTGACACACGAGAGCTACTCGGGACGTGTTTACTGAAGATTAACAGCCAGCCAGTCACCAGAGGACTGATATTTCCTAGTGAGATATATTGAGTAAGGGCAGCCGTAATGATTTCATTCTATTTGCTGAATTGGGCTTGAGCCTATTAGCTAATCAGCAGTTGGCCATTAGTATGGTCGACAAAGAAACAGTGACAAAAGAAAAAAATACCAGGCAAAGGAAAACAGAGGAGGAGGAGAACATGACCCAAAGCCAGGCAGTGTTCCAAATACAGAAATGACCCCAGCACCTTTTTAATTAACAGGATCTGCTACTGCAGAACCAAAGTCTGGAAAATGCAATCTACCCTGCAGTCAAAAATTATAAAGATCTTCCAATATTTATAGTCATATACCTGGAAAGGTAAAATTGTTTCTAGTATACGACGTGCTTATTTTATTGTTTTTTTACAGAGAGGAAGGGAGAGGGATAGAGAGTTAGAAACATCAATGAGAGAGAAACATCGATCAGCTGCCTCCTGCACACCCCCTGCTGGGGATGTGCCCGCAACCAAGGTACATGCCCTTGACTGGAATCGAACCTGGGACCCTTCAGTCCACAGGCCGACGCTCTATCCACTGAGCCAAACCAGTCAGACAAGAATGATATATTTTGATCTTGAAAACAAAAATGATACTTTATAGAAAGAATTATAATAGTTGTCTGATCCCTTAGGAAAAGACCCAGAACCCTTGGGGAAATGTATGCTAAGATGCAGTTTTAATATTATGTAGTTTACTTTTATTTAGCAGGATAGTAGAAATAGTCATTTTGATGCATACATTTATTCTCTTATTGAACTTATTTCCACTAGGAGGGTATTTGGAGGTAGGTTAGGTCATGAGGGTGGACTCTTCCTGAGTAGGATTAGTGACCTTATAAGAGAAGGTCAGAGAGATAGCTCTCTTTCTTTCTTTCTTTCTTTCTTTCTTTCTTTCTTTCTTTCTTTCTTTCTTTCTTTCATATATTTTTATTGATTTCAGAGAAGAAGGGAAAGGGAGAAAGAGATAGAAACATCAATGAAAAGAGAGAGTCATCAATAGGATGCGTCCTACACCCTCCCTACTGGGAATCAAGCCCACAACCTGGGCATGTGCCCTGACTGGGAATTGAACTGTGACCTCCTGGTTCATAGGCCGACGCTCAACCACTGAGCCATGCTGGCTGGCCTAGCTTTCTTTCTTTCTACCTTGTGAGGATACAACCCAGAGAATGGATTTCACCAGAACCCAGCACTGGCACCCTGACCTCAGATCCCCAGGCTTCCAGAAACGTTAGAAATAAATTTGTGTTGTTTATAAGCCACCTCATTGATGATATTTTGGCATAGCAACCTAAACTAAGACAAGTCAAAAAGAA